TTAATTGGAAGGTTACAGATTGCATCTCAGCTGAGGAAGATTGGAACTGGAGCATAGTGGGTCAATATTTGTCTGAAGAGATTTTGGATGTTATAGCAGGTATCCCTCCCCCCAATGAAGATGGTGGTAATGACAAAGTTATTTGGAGACACTCTCCATCGGGTTTGTTTTCTATTAGTTCAGCTTATTCTTCTTTAATCCCCCCTCAAAATGATCCTCAGTCCAAAGATTGGAGCTTAGTGTGGAAATGGGAGGGTCCCCAGAGGATTAAATTCTTCTTATGGTTCTTTTTTAGTAACAAGCTCCTTACCAATGCTGAGAGAAATAGAAGGCACATGTCTGACAATGCTAGATGTCCAAGATGTCAAGATCCTATTGAAGACAGGGACCGCATCTTCAGGAAGTGCAGATGGACGAGAGAAGTTTGGGACCACTGGATTGATAGCAGAAGGAATAACAACTTTTACAAAAATGATGTTGACAATTGGCTTAAGTTAAACCTCAAGTCTAGGGACTACAATCGAAGATGACAGCTGAGATTTGGAGTTATCTGTTGGCATATGTGGAAGGATAGAAATAATCTCATTTTCAAGGGCAAAGGTCTTAATCCCCAGGATTTTTTCCTTCAGGTTTCTATTAGCATTTTAAATATTGAAAATTCAAATGAAATTCTGATGTCTTCTGGTTTAGCTGTGGAAACTATGAATGAGGTTTGGATCAATTGGAAGGCTCCCATGGAGGGTTGGATCAAGATTAATATTGATGGATCTTGTAGAAATAATGGTTCAAATCTGGCTTGTGGTGGAGTTATTAGAGATACTTATGGGAATTGGGTGCAGGGATTTAACAAAAATCTAGGTTATGGCACTGTGCTTATGGCGGAATTGTGGGGTTGTGTAATCGGTTTGGAGTGGGCTTGGCAACAGATATATAATCTTGGAAGGAGACTCAATGGTGGCTAGTCATTTGATTGTGGAAGGGTGTATTAATAATCATCCTTGTTGTTCTCTTGTGAATAGAATTAAGGAATTGCTTAACCTCCATTGGCAAGTAAATATTTTACATACTTATAGAGAAGGCAACCGAGTGGCTGATTGGATGGCTAAACTCAGGGTTGATAATGACTGGGATACTCACTGGTTCAGCTCTCCTCCGGATGGTTGTAGGGACCTTTTATTAGAGGATTGTAGGGGCACCTTGTTGCCCAGGACTGTTTCTTTGTAATTTGTTTGTTTTGTAGCTTTCCTTTGTTATCCAAAAAAAAAAAGACTTTATATCATAAGTGAGTTCGGATACCATTTCTCAAACCAAAATCTTAACACAATGGATTCTCTTATATCAATATTGGATAACAGAGAAGCCCATAATAAGAGAAGATCTATTATCAAAATAGACTAAGCTACAAACTCTATATCGTAAATGAATTTGAATATCACATCTCAATTCAAAACAAGTATTAATTTTATAGGTTGTTCCATTTATATAATTATCATTTAGCATATTTTAAACAATATAAAACTTTACTATTCCCATTTGAATTCTGGTCTAGCAGCACAATTTAAACATTTAATTTTCCATTTTGTGCCATGAAATAAAAAAATAACAAAATTGTTTGGTATTTGTAAAAACAAATTATTTTTTATTTTGTTTCGACCAATTCATTATCTAGAACAGAAAATATAACACCTTCACTCATAATTAGTTATATAAATGAGAGGGCAGAATTGTCAATTTAAAATTTTAGTGTAAAAAAAAAAAGTGAATGGTGATGACCAAAGGATCGAAACCCATGATAGTCATGTCCAAAAAAAAAAAAAAAAAAAAAAAAAAAAAAAAAAAACCTTTCTTGAAGGATTGAGCCATTGAAGAGCTTGGAGCTTGATAAATAGAAACCCTTGAGGAGAACACCAGAAGGGTTAAAATACCCTTGGAGTTCGAACTCTTTTTCCTTTCTTGAATCCTCAGTAATGAGGGCTGAATGTTTTGTTTGTTTGTGTTGTGGTGTTACAGAAAAATAAATCGATTTTATTATATATTATTTCTAGTCATTTTTATTCCTCGGATTAAAAAAAAATATCTGTTTCTCGAAAGTTGTCTTGCACTGTGTTTTACTAATATAGTAGAATAAGGGGAGTTTGTTGTTCATAATAATCAGAAATCTTGTAAATATTTGATAAAGGAAATTGCTTACATTTGTAAATGAAATTTAGTTATTTTTATTTAGGCAATAGGCTGGAAATTAACCCATTAATTTACCACTTTATGTGAGATGGGAGATACGATGGGTTTTGGTATGTTGCTGCGATTCAATAAATCTCGTGAATACATTTTCCCATTTTATTTTTTATTTTTTATTTTTACTTTTTGCTTGATCACATATTTTATTCTGTTTATGTTATTTATGTTATCTTTTGCTGTCAATTTTTCTCTAACTTCAAAATAAATAAATAAATTCAAATTAAATATTTGCGATAAGAGATAGGTTAATTGAATTATCATATTCAGTTAAGTCTTTTATTTAGAATTATTTTAGCTATGACTGGTTGGTGATTTAATTTTTTTAATTGATTATTATATATATATATTTTATCATAAAAATTAATTTTCTTTTTAGGGTGAGAATTCCTTACCATTTTGGAGAATACTAGGTTCCACCCATAATTCGCAAGATGATAATTACATTCTAAATCAATGTGTTGAACATTTCATTTCCAGCTCTTTAAATGTCATAGCATAATGTATTATAGTGTTTATTTTTTCGACCTGGAGTGAGCTCGTACTCTATCATAAGATTAGCTGGTTATGTCAATTTTTTAGATGAGGCAGGTTATACTTACCGCATCAATTTCCTTACCTCTTATACTTATATTAATCAAATAATTCTCATATTCAGGGAATCTTCAGAAAGTGATAGTTATTCTGACTAAGATCAGTCTTTATCATCTTACACAAGCTCCTCCATATCACAGGTTATGGTCCCATAATAGATTTTCCAATAAACGTGCCTCTTGAATCTTGAACTAAGCTAAGAGAAATGTAACGGTATTATGGAAGTTGTGGACCTTATAAGAGAAACAAGTGGATGAAAGTCTCAGGTAGTGATGCTGCTTGCTATGACCAGTCTTGTGCACATTAATAATTGTATAAGTTGACTACTGAAATGCACATGCCATTTCTCAGGTTAAAATGGAGAGAGAATGGAAGAGACAGGCCTCCTTGTTGGGTATGGCCCATGAATAGCTGCTGTTAGGGTTTTCTAATCCTATTTATATTTTTCTTGTAAATCGAGTGACTTGTAACGAGTGGCGGTGAGGTGAATATAATACAGACAAGCTGGACGTAACCTATATTGGGTGAACCAAGGTAAATCGTTGTGTCTATTATCTCTCTCTTTTCTTTTTCGTTTTCAATTTGTGTGATTGTCGATTTCCAACACTCATTTTGACAATTATACATGAAGAAGATATAATGCATCAACTCATCAACTAGGGGAGAAATCAACCTCTTCATACACCCCCCCCCCCCCCCCCATAATATTTATGTTATGTTAACATTTTTCACCCAACAATCATTGTTATTAGGAAAAAGTGTTTGTTATTATGGTAGTTGGTTGATTAATGTATTTTTCAAAAGGTGTATGATTCTCTTCTACAGCTACAACTAGTGAAGGAAAAATAAATGTTATCAGATTATATTTTCAGTTTGAGTTGGCCCTAAAAGATTTTATCAGATTATATTTATTACCTTTTGTTAGTATAGTTTTAATTTCAAAAGGTTTAAACTTTCAAAATGATTTAAATCTTAACCAATAACTTAACAAGATCGAGTTTTAGTGTGCTCTTGGAAGTCATATTAAATTCATTTAACATCTTCCCTAGTGTATATTTTACACATATGGCTTGGCTTTTAAGGAATATGATTCTTCCTTGCCCATGTAAATAAAATCACACAAGCAACATGCAGAATTCAGTGAATAACTACAGAATTATATCCCCTAAGGGTGTTTGCTGCAAGATATAAATGTGTAGGCAGCCAATATATATTCACATATACAGGGAAAGCAACCAAAAGAAGTTGAAAATAGATACAATAACAACGAGATAAGAATTAAGAAAACAATTAAACTGCTATTTATGAAAGTGACAGTGGGCATATATAATACGTATCCCTTCTTGCTTGTCGTAATCATGTATTCATTTATACTTGAGTAGAATTGCAGAGAATCTTTTTTAACGATGAAGAAGTTCAAAAGAAAGGGCAGCATCATTCCCCTTATCCACGAAGAGAAAACAAGTGATAGAAAAGGTATGAATAGGCCATAAGTTACAAGCACAAGACTATCTGTTCACAAAATAAAAAATTTGCACATCTTGGAAACTTGTTTACAAATCAATTGTAAAAGCATAGGGCAAATCACTGTCTTTAATCAAGGGAGACTCTCCTTGGTACAGTAGATTCTAACAAATACCATAAAAATCATCCAAGACAAATTTAACCACATGTCTTCAATCTACTTGACGAAACAGATCAAAAGCAGACAGCAAATAGCTGTCATTTTTAATTTTAATGCAAAAGGAAAATAAACTTTTGATGTATTATATTGAGTAATAAAATGTGTAAAGAACCAATTCAATCCAAAAGCTTAAGCTATTGGGTGAGGCTATATTAGTGGTTTTTATATATCTCAACACGCCCCCTCACACGAGAGCCCACTGAGCTTGAAGGGTAGACAAGGCACAGACCCACCTACCTATGCGAAGAAAGAAATTCCACTTGAAAGAAAGTGGAGAGCGGTGAGGATCGAACCCGGTACACCGAGGCTCTGATACCATGTAAAGAACCAATTCAACCCAAAAGCTTAAACTATTGGGTGAGGCTATATTAATAGTTTTTATATATCTCAACAAAATAAAAAAGTTAAAAGGCAATGGTTATATATATATATATATATATATATATATATATATATATATAGGAAAAAATCAAAACTTGGAAGACCATTTAAAATTCAAAAATAAGAATGTGGCTCATTTAGAAGTCCAACCATTTCTGATAATAGACACAGGTTGTTGGGGAGACAACACCATTTGGTGCACAAAATTTTATCCGAGGACAAACCCCACAAGGAATGGAAGCCATGGCACCATCTATAACACCGCCTTTGCTTTTCAATCTATAACAAACTCTACCATCAGGAATAGATGCAAAATCCCCAAACCCAGTGCTCTTCACCTCTAGGATCTTATCATCCATAACCAAAATCCTCAAAATCTGTTCTACTTGCTGTTTTGTGACTTCAACGGGGAAGATCCTTGTCTTTCTGGTCCACTCCAATATTCCATCACAAGTGGCAACTTTCAGCTGGAAAATGGACTTCAGGCAAACACTTGTAAGATGGGTGATGAACTCACTGTCAAGCTTGCCTTCACTGTACCACTCCCCACCAGTGATCTCATTGGAGGGTTCAAACTCTGCTGCCATGAAAAGCTTCCTGGATTTGTTCCGGATGTTAACAACTTCCTTGATGAGACTCTTGGATTGAAGCAACTTAAGGGATTTCTTGAACACGGTCTCAGGGAGGTTCATTTCTCGTTTGATGTCTCCAGACCATATCCCCATGTCTTTCTTCGCACGAATGATGTTATAGACAATGCGCTCTTCATTTGTGAGAGACGCAGACACTGCTAAAGCCAAATCTTGGCGTTTCCATTTACCTTGCAAACCACTCATTTCCTGTAACAACAGTGTATTCAAGTTAAAGATTGAATATTATGCTTGTTAAATAGCAATTAAATAACATCAGGGTGCTCACGTTAAATTCAACTTTTATATCACATACTCAACTTTTATGTTAGATATCCAAGTAACTATGCAAGTATAAAAAGGAAAGTTCTAACTAGTAACTAGCTCTAGGGGCATATCTACAAACAATTAACAGTTCCCAACAAACGTTGAACAGAAAGTAGAGAAGATTCATATTAATTTATATCTAGAAGTTTGAGCACACATGCAATTAAATCAAGAGAGTAGTTTATCCCAGAATTTTACATAGAACAAGAAAACTATAGATCCACTGTTTCCCCGTTAATAGTTCAATCAGATCATATAATGGATAGATGCAAATTTATAGATCGGTATTTATGGCTAAAAAAAAAATATAGCTATATAGAATTCAGATACTGTGCAGCACAACGAGGAAATAATGAACATCACTTGGTAAATTTGTGTTATGGCACAAACAAAATGCTCCAATCTTTGAACCTAATAAACATATTTCATACATGGTTTTTCCATGGATCCAATATCAATTACCCATAATCATTTCAAGACTCTCATTCAATGTTCCACCCATGGATTATTCCAATGTTATATTTGTAAAGATCCTTTCTACAACACCCATAGGTGAAGTGCTTCGTTTCAGATCAATTCTTCGCTGCAATCAAAGACCGCTTCGCTTGGTAAGAACCGAGACCTTTTGGCAGTCAACCTATGGTTACCTTACAATAGCTCAAGTTGGTTAGTTAAGTAAATGGCGGCTACAGGAAGACATACTTAATAAAGTGGTGAAGCAATCCAGCACTAACTAAAGGATAGCCATGGTCAGCTAGCGAGCCACTAAGGAATTGGTTCTGCTATGAGTTGAATTGAATTGGTCCACCTAATACCTTAAGGTTTTGAGTTGAATTGCCTCTTTACAATATTTATACATTTCATAATCATCTTACAAAAGAACTAAGCATGTAAGCCTCTTTGAACCAAATATTCATCATGATATGAACAACACTCTCAAAAGTTTTTCCTCCAAATATACATGTACATTTCCATGATCTCATTGTCTCAAATTACCACATACGGTACAATGCAATGATCCTCCAACTTGACAATTACATCAATGAGCATTAAATACCCCAAAATAACATTGGCAACATGCCATCACATGATAAATCAAAATGTACATTATCATTACATTGTTTCAATTCAATTGATACATATACAAGGATTTTTGCCAAAATAAATCATCATTATACAATGTTTCTCAAAGTACATCAATTCCTCCAAAAGCATATAAGACTGTATCTTCCCACTTTGACATGAATGCACGCATGACCAAATGTGCAATTTCTCATACATCAATATAAACTCCAAATGAGTCCTAGCATGCTACCATGTCAATAGAGACCAAAATAATGGAAGCATGTCATCAATCCTCAAGTTGGCCTCTTGCCAAGGGGTGTCTCATCTCCGATGGTCAATGTACCCGAAAATAATCCCAAAACGAGGTAAGATACAATCTCAGTAAACTCAGGGATTTTAGAGACTCCTCCAACCTTGAGCTCCCTTCTATGACATTCGGGCATCAAAACGGCATATGGCAACCAAGCTCACAACAAGCAGCATATATTCAAGTCAGGTGTATCAACACCAATCACACATCCCTCTACACTATCAGCCATCCCCGGAATGTTGGTATCAGTCACAATTGAGCCATCCCTCTGGACCATCAGCCATCCCTGAAACGCCCATGTGAATGAAATTATACTAGCCAGAGAATCAATTCCAATCATGCAACCATGCATGACAATTCAATAACTCAAGCACATACACCTAATTCCAATACTAATGCATATACATGTTATACAAACCATTACTCCTCATGGAGTATGGTGGAACATCAAGAGGAAAAACCCCCAAAGTACAAGAGTTTACCTTGTCAAAGCTTTCTTTGATTCTATTGTCCTTTCCAAGCAATTACCACTAGCACAACCAACACCACACAACCTATTCCAAAGTGAATAACTCAATCATTAGCACAACCAAGGTCACATACTCATCATTTATCATACCCAATGTCTCAAAGTCATGGTTTAGGGGCTTACCCTCAAATTCCTCAATCCAGAGAACACAACCCTAACTCCCAATAGGTTTCAATGGTGATTTCAACGTACAATCACCCATAGAATCAACATTCCTACATCAAACAACAATGATTCAAGCATCAACACCATTATCAATGCATTAATTTCAAAATCCCCAAAAATCCTCATAAAATCCCAACACCCAATTCATGATATTCAACATAACTCATGAATCTACACCTGTGACCCAAATTTTAAATAAATTCTAAATTTACCCCAATGAAGCTGGGTGTTACATGTGTCCTCTAGTGTTGGTGGTCAAGGTAGTATATATGCTAAAGAAGTTACAGAAGCAAGCACCTGTCATGAGATCACATATTCACCTTTTCTGGGGTAATATGCTATTTGAATGGTTCGCAGTTGAGTCCAATGTGGACAGAAGAGCATAACCTTCCTAATAAACAATAGTGGATAAACAAGATAAGAAAAACATTAATCATGCCTTGATCAATTAAACATGCCCTGACATGATGGAAGGAGTGTCAACTTTACAGGCTAGGCATGAGATTAATCACCAATTACCAACCTCAATCAATTGGTATACACATACAATACACAACAAATTACATGACATGAAACCTGTTAGAATATTAGATATGATATGATTAGATTTGATTAGATATGATTGGATTCTGTCTTATCCGTAAATAATCTGACTGTATTCTGACTGTATTAGGATTAGGTTTGGATTAGGTTTGAGCCTTACACTTAAGCCCATTAGGGTCTCTATATATTGTAACTCCCTGACACAGATCAATACACAACGTATTCTTTTACATTTAACTTGGTACCAGAGCTATTTCGTTCTGGGAACCCTCGCTTCCGCTTAGAAATCTTGTTCTTCGCTTTAAAACCTAAGCCCACTGCTTAGGAGTCATCTTTTCTTTGCCGTGCGTCCTTCCGGTAAGACATCAAAGGCTGTAAGTCCTCTCCAGGCATCTTCTGCACGTGTCCACATCCCCAAACAGTCACCGGAGCACCATCAGCCACCGTCAGCCACTGTTCAGGCTGCCGGAGTACTTTTCCGGCGAGTTTTCAGTCTGGAACGAACGCGAACAGAACCCTCTCCTCCCGGCGACCTGCTCTGTGGAAGTCCGGCCACCATCGGAGTTGTCACGCGCTCTCACGCGCCTCCAGTCTTCTCTGCGCGTGGGCTTCACGCGCCACCTTCTGCCGGCGCGTGAGCACTATTCCGGCGACTTTTTCCGGCCGGTCTTGGACAGAGAAGCTCGTCTTCTCCTCCTCTTTCTGGATCTGTGGTTGGTTCTTTGTGGGTCTGACTTTTTGTGCGCACCTCTTCTTGATTGGTGATCAGGTTCGTTTCCCTTTATTCGGTTTGTATCTTTGTGATTTGATACTATGGCAGCAAACCTTCCAATTCATTCGGAGGTCAAGTCTCCATCTCCTCGTTTGAGAAATTCTCCCAATATCATCTCTACCAATATTGGGTCCATTACCTCTTCAAAATTGAAGGGATCTGTTAATTACAAGAACTGGGCCACCTCTGTTCGAGTTTGGTTCTTTGGACAAGGATATGGGAACCATCTCACAACTAAGTCTACTGATGTCCCTAAGGAGGACAAGTCTGATTGGGAAAAGATTGACAACCAGCTTCTGAGTATCCTCTGGCAATCCATTGATCCGATTGTCTTGGATATCTTTTATTCATTTCAAACTTGCACTGAAGTGTGGGAAGAAGCAAAAAACCTCTACACTAATGATGTTCAGCAGCTCTATTTCATCATCTCTCAGTTTATGGAATTGAGCAAATCATCCGACATATGTAGTGCAGCTTGATTATCACAGATGAGTGTCATGGGTTGTTTCTGTTCACAAAGATGAAGCTCCTGAATCAACTGCTTTAACCAGATCAACTCACAGGTAGTATTTGCCATTGCACAATACTCAGCTTCTGCACTAGAACGGGAAACAACAGGTTGTTTCTTGCTTTTCCATGAGATTAAGTTTCCTCCGAAGAAGACACAATAACCAGAAGTAGAGCGTATGTCCGAGGGTGATCCTGCCCAATCGGCATCTGAGTAACCACAAATTTCTGTATTTCCCTGATCCGAATACAACAAACCTTTTCCTGGTGCTCCTTTGATGTATTGGAGGATCCTCACAGCAGCATCCCAATGTGAATCACAAGGGGAATCAAGGAACTGACTGGCCGTACTGACAGCGAAAGAAATATCTGGCCTAGTCACAGTAAGATAATTGAGCTTCCCAATTAGCCTCCGATAACGTCCAGGATCAGATAACGGCTCCCCCTGTCCGGGTAATAACTTGACATTAGGATCCATAGGTGTATCAACTGGTTTACTCCCCAACATACCAGTTTCTTCTAGGATATCCAAGGCATATTTCCTTTGACAGATAGAAATGCCCTGTCTTGATTGCGCCACCTCAATTCCCAAGAAGTAACGCAGCTTCCCAAGGTCCTTTGTTTGAAATGTACTAAACAAATGCTGTTTTAACTGACGAATTCCGTCTTGATCACTTCCGGTGAGAATGATGTCGTCAACATAGACTAACAAATAGATACACTTATCAGGAGATGTAATCCTATAAAACACAGAATGGTCAACTTTACTGCGGATTAAGCCAAACGCCTGAACAGCAGAACTGAAACGACTGAACCATGCTCGAGGAGACTGCTTGAGACCATATAAGGATTTCCGAAGACGACACACCTTTCCAGACTCCCCCTGAGCAACAAAACCAGGTGGTTGCTCCATGTAAACTTCTTCTTGTAAATCACCATGAAGATAGGCATTTTTGATGTCAAGTTGAAGAAGTGGCCAGTGACGAACAGCA